TTATTTGTCATTTAAGTATTTTTTAATAAAAAAATTAATGTGTAATAATATCATATATTAAATAATAAATGATTTATTTTGATAAATTATTTAAAATAAGGTTAAATGCTACTTTTTGTCTCTTAACTTTAAGGTTCTGCATAATTTTCATTTCTTAATTTTTTTATTTTTTACACTTTTTTAATCCCTTAATTATTAAAAATGCACTTTTTTAGTTTTTTCGTTAGTTAATCCGTTAAATTTAATTGAATCTGAACATTTTTAATCTTTTAACTTTTAATATATGCATATTTTTAATCTCTTAACTTAAAGTTGAGGGACTAAAAATATGTAAATTTAAATAGATTTAATGGATTAACTAACAAAAAATAAAAAAAAAGTGTATTTTTTATGATTAAGGGATTAAAAAAGTACAAAAAAAATTAAAGGATGAAAATTGTGTAAACCCTTAAAGTTAATGAATCAAAATTAGCATTTAACCTTAAAATAATAATTTATTTTTATTTTTTTAAGGATAGACCTATTTCTTTCTACTTGAGGACAGAATTGGAGGCTTGCCTAATTTTCGGTACGAACTACAAAACGTTTCAAGTAGTCAAAATCGGAAACAATCCATTTTTCGCAGAAATCGACCTCTCTACCACTGTAGTGGATTTTACGCTGTCAATATATAGATCCATCAGCTCTTAATTTCTTCCGAGATAGAGATGGCAGTTAGCTTTAAATTTCTACTTGTTCTTGCATTTTGCTGTACATTTCTTTCAACATATGCTGATGGAGTATTAAAGCTATATATTAAATATTTGCCGCACAATTACCGTCTTTGCCTTGCATTTAACATGATCTTGACCCAAATGTTGTAATTAACTAGCATATTTCCTTCAAAATAATAGCTTTTTATTTAAATTTTTTTAATTAATTTTTTATTTTATAATGTAAAGTTTTTATTTTAAGTTATAATTAAGTATTTATTTTAATTAATTATTCTACTATATCATAAAGTCTCCTCTTATATCTTTTACAAAAATGTTATATTTACCATATGTTGATATATAATTATTTTTTTATTTAAGAGTCAATTTGTAATAATATATACATTTATTTGTTGGATATTATATTATAGTTATATTTATTTAATGTTCTTATAACTTATAATTTATGTGATATTACATTTATAACATTAAAAATTATTTTTAAATTTTTAATTAAAAAATTAAAAATAACCATTATTTTGAGATTTAAAATTTTACACTGCCATCTGGTCTATAATAGCTACTTAACAACTAATTTTATAGCTGAATTATGCTTCGGTAATCCGTGTGTATGCATCTTCCAAAAAATATCTCTTGAATCTCTCATTGACTTGTTTATTTTACGCTTTCTCTTCTCCTTACCCACCTCAATTGCAATTAAGCTCCGTATAATTTTTGCTTGGCCTAAATTTGTTACTAGTATCTTAACTTCCTCTAATTTCTTGTGCTAATCCTGCAGGTACACCATCTATCTAGTTCGTTAATCTTGATTTTGTTACATTCTCTATGTATATTAAATAAAATTGTCTCAGTTTTGTTGTGGATCGCATGACCCTATTAACAAAGAAGCTTCTTTCTCATTAGATTCCTCAATTTTTAAATTGTTTGTGTTTACCTGTAAATAGAAGCTCCTCAATTCAGACGCTTGATTTATAAACTCTTTAGATTTCAAATTAAACATATCTAGTTCAAATTTTAGGGGCAAATATTATAACTCAAGTGATGCATTAATGGCAATGCTATATTTACTATGCCATGTAAAATTGCATGTTTACAATTATGACTTAACATTAAATTAGTGTGACATGTCATTAAAGGAATGGATACATAAAATATGACAAATAAATCTCTTATTGAAAAGAGCCAATTATATAAGAATATATTATGTTGTAAGTTTTAATGTCACATAACATTATAATTATATTATTTCTAATGCATTAATTATCTAAAATTTGAAGTGAGTGACTGAAAATTTACATAAGACTTACAAGTGTGACTTATCCCTACTTATTTTATTTAGGTCTTTGGATAGATCTGCCATCTTTTCCCTACTCATGTATTTTTTTTTGTAAAAGTTTCTAAATTGATGAATGCGGTGGTCAATATTCTCTCTCTCTCTATATATAAATCATTGTATTAATTTATTAGACCATTTTCATCCCATCAACTACATTACTTGATCATTTGTTTATTCACTTTTTGCATACATTATCTTTTTTTCAATTATGATCAAACTCATAGAAAGAAGAGTTCTAATCAAGTCAGTCAACTACATCTTCCTTTAAAACCATCTTCTTAATCAGATAACTTTTTACAAATTAATTGAATAGACAAGTAACTAAATGCAAATTGAATCATATGACATGCTGAGTGAATAAAACAGCTAGTGACAATTTTTCCTCTCCTTTTTAGCCTCACTTTTTCATCCTATTAAGCATTAAGTTATTCCTATCTTGCATTGTTTTTGAAGTTGTTGTACACATTCTAATACACATTGTGTTTCATTTTATAGGGCCTTTTTCAATGGAGTTTCTAGTAGAGCCTATCATGGAATTGGTAAAGTATATCGGGAGGTCAACCTGCACCTATCTAGATCATCACTTAAATTTTGATGAAGCTATGAGTGATCTAGAAAGAGAATTGCAAGCTCTAAATAGGTGAAAAGAAGATTTAAATTTAAGCATACAGTTTGAGGCTAGTTGGAGAAAAGAAGTAAAGCATGTAGTACAAGGCTGGCTTGAACGTATACAAGAAATCAATAATGAAGAGCAAGCCATTCAAGAAAAGATTCAGAGAGTTAAGTGGTACTCAAAGGGCCATATTGGGAAACTTGTTTGTAAGAAAATTGAGGTGGTGAGGAGAATCTATGAACAAGGTAGTTTTGTTGATGGTCTCACAGTCACAATTGGTAGATCTCCAACCCCTCAATCACATTGCCAACTCAGAATGTAATGGGTGAAGATTCTATAAAAGAAAAAACTTGGGGATACTTGATGGGCAATGAGGTTGGAATGATTGGAGTTTGTGGGCTTGGTGGAGTTGGAAAGACTACTATTATGAAAAACATCAATAATGAATTGGTGAGACAGACTAAGTTTGATAAACTGATTTGGGTCACTATATCTTACCCACTTGATGTAATCAAATTACAAGATAATATCGCTCGTGTTATTGTTGTGGCTGATAGACAAGGACTCCCAAAAAATGAGGTTGGAATGATTGGAGTTTGTGGGCTTGGTGGAGTTGGAAAGACTACTATTATGAAAAATATCAATAATGAATTGGTGAGACAGACTAAGTTTGATAAACTGATTTGGGCCACTGTATCTTACCCATTTGATGTAATCAAATTACAAGAAAATATTGCTCGTGCTATTATTGTGGATGATAGACAGGGACTCCCAAAATGTGGGGACAAAGAGAGGCGGGCGGCTGCATTGTTGAGCATTATGGGCAAAGTAAGATATGTGCTGATATTAGATGATGTCTGGGAAGTGTTTGCTCTAAATGAGGTGGGAGTTCCAGAACCAACAATTCAGAATGGGAGCAAAATAGTCATCACTAGTAGATCCATTGATTTGTGCAAAAGAATGGGCTGTGAGATAGTGAAAGTGGAACCTCTTTCATTTCAGGAGTCTCTTAACTTATTCTTAGATAAAGTTGGGCGTCATGTTCTACAAGTACCAAATTTAGAAGGAATCTTGAAGCTCATCGTGGAGGAGTGTGGTGGCTTATCGCTGGCAATTGTTGTGATAGCAGAGAGTATGAAGGGAGAAGATGATGTTGAAGTGTGGAAGAATGCCTTAAATGAATTACGAGAACAAGTAAAGAGTGTGATTGGTTCGGATCAAAAGATATTTGAAAAGTTAAGGTTTAGTAATGATCATTTGAATAATTTTGAAATCCAAAATTGTTTTTTTTTATTGCTCCTTGTTTCCTGAAGATTATCCATTTAGCACAAGAGAATTGATAGAAGGGTGGATTGGCGAAGGACTAATTGATGGGTTGCCAAGTAGAAAAGCAACTTATGATAAGGGCTATGCCTTTTTAAATAAGCTTGTAAAGAATTGCTTGTTAGAGAAAACTGTGGATTTGGAAGGTGATGTTTTTAAGATGCATGACATAGTGAGAGACATGGCTATCAAAAGCATTGATCCTGAATTTGGCCATATGATAAAAGCTGGTATGAAATTAAAATAGGTGCCAGATGAGCGTGGATGGGGAAATGATCTTAAGAAGGTGTCTTTAATGGAGAATTACATATCAAAAATTCTCATTGGATTGTGCCCAAAGTGTCCAACTCTTTCAACTTTGATATTGTCAAATAATCATAATTTGTCAGAGATCCCAAAATCCTTCTTTGAAGGGATGCTTGAACTAAAGGTTCTTGATCTTTCTCAAACTAAAATTGAAGTTTTACCTAATTCCATCTCAAATTTGGAGAAGCTCTCTTCCCTGAGGTTAAAATGGTGTACGAGGTTAAGGTACTTGCCTTCTTTAGCAAAGCTCAGGGTATTAAAGAAGTTGGATCTGCGTGGTTCCAGGATTGAGGTGGTCCCTCAAGGCATGGAGAAATTGATTAGTCTGGAATATCTTGATTTAAGTTATTGTTACAATCTAAAAGAGATTCCAATGGGAATCTTATCAAACCTTTCCAATCTCCAATACTTTTTAGTTTATGGAAAATTGAAGATAAAAAGAGTAGAGGTTGTGAGATTGAGCAAGTTGGGGGCCTTTGAAGGTGTATTAGATGACATACAAGGCTTCAATTATTTTGTCAAGTCTAAAGACTTCCAAATTCTTACTGATTACACGATTGTAGTAGGAGCACCATTCTCTACTATGATGGAGATGATTGACCGAAAGAAACACATGGTTAATATTAATAATTGCAACTTAGGAGAAGAATGTATAGTGCTTCCAGATAACCTTCAGAATTTGGTGATCGATGGGTGTAAAAACATGAGAAGCAGCTTAAATAAAGCAGCTTTGTTAGAAAAGGCAACCGAGTTGAGTTACTGTGGTCTTAGGTATTATGAAGATATGGAGTGCGTGGTTGACTTGGATTTATCCTCTGTTCAGTATTGGATAAGCTTGAAGAGCTGTACCTTTGGGGATTGCCTAAATTGAGTGTACTTGTGAGAGTGGAAGGAGTAGCAACACCACCGCGCGTCTTTTGAAATCTTAAAAGGCTTCGTATTTGGTTTTGTTCAGGAATGGGGAAGTTGCTTCCACTTGAGCTGCTGCAGGTCTTCCAAAGCTTAAGAGGAGATTGATGTTTATTCGTGCGAACAAATGAAGCAGATAATAGCATCATCAGATTCAGATGCATAATCGCATAAATTCACTTGTCTTCTCTATCATTTGCAAACCGGATTGAAGGAAACAATTTCTGTTGCTTCATTGATTCTTGGAGATTGAATTGAAGTGAAGAAACGAATATGATCCAGAGGAAGAAATCGTCAACTTAATTTCCAGATTTCTTCAGCATTCCTTCTATTCTGTAGTAGCAGCACCGACGCCGACCTGGATGAGCTGCAACATTCCGTTTGTGTATACCTGAAATGACCAGGTAAGTCACGTGCGGTCCCAAACAACACGTGCCAGTAAAACCCTTCTTTCTCCTTTTCTCATCCAGTACAGTCCAGGTATTCTGATTCTGAAAGTGGATGGAAGGGATACAGTTCAGTCCAGCCTCCGCTTCCCCCAATTTCATGCTTCCCCCAATTTCATCTAAGATTCTTGCCAAATTGGGTACCATATATAGAATCAAATCTCTTTTATCTATGTATGAATTATTATGATTTTAACTCTTTAACTCCTTTTAGTTTCTTGTTCCATTTTGGTAATTCCAAAATCTACTGTATATTTTCTGGAATGATTTGTTTCTGTTTAGGGTTTTTGGTGGCTGGTTTTTGTTTGTAATTTTGTTATCTTATATTTTCCTAAGACTAGACTAATAAATTTATTCAGTTGTTTAATTGGTCGTAATCTGTAATTAGAATATATAAAAATTATCATTTTTGTCTAAATTGGGAGTGAAATCATTGAAATGAAAAACATGCAGGATTTCAATTTCGGTATTGCAAAACCAAATTTTGGCACAATTGGTTGGCAATTGGGGACAAAAATCCCAGGCTCGGGTCTCCGTCCAACTATTCGTAAGTATTATTTCTGATTGTGTTGTAATCGGTCTGCAAGTGGCAGGAAGAGATTCAGGCTCTAATCTTATAAACTCCTAGTAGTGAGTATGGATTTCACTGTTTTAGGTTACCTGCAGAGTAGGTTTGTTGGAAAACAGGGTAGTGATTGAGTATACTAAGAGTTTGGTTGAGTTAATATCTACTAATTTAAAAATTTTAATTTGAGATCAAGGTAAAAAATTTAAATTT